TCCTTCCCCCTTGTCTATCCCCACTCCCATCCCGACCTCTCCCCCTTGTCCGTCCATGCCGAGCTTTCTCCTCCCGTCTCCCATCCCGACCTCTCTCCCTCCCCAGCCCGACCTCTCCCCTCTTTCCTTCCTTCGCTTACTTCTCCGTACCTCTCCCAACTCCCATCCCAACTTCTTCCTCCTTCCCTTCCCTACCTCCCCCTCCTTCTCCCCTTTCCTTCTTTCCTGCCCTCCTAAATCCCGACTCCGATCCCAACGTCTCCCCCCCGGTAGATCTCTTTCCCCTCCCCCTCCCTCATCCCGACGTCTCCCAACTCCCATCCCGATTTCTCCCTCCTTTCCTTCCTTTGCCGACCACTCCCTTCATCACCTCTCTCTCTGTCCTATCCCAACCCCCTCCTCCCCTCCTGCTCTATCCCGATTCCCATCCCAACGTCTCCCCGCTTCCCGTCCCGACCCCTCCATCCATAGATCCCTCTTCCCTCCTCCTTTGCGACGTCGTTCCCCTTCATGACTCCCTCCATCCCCGACTCCCATCCGACCTCTCCCGACTTCCATCCCGACTTCTCCCTCTTTCCCTTCCTTTGTCGACCTCTTCCTCCATCGCCTGTCCCTTTTCCCTTTCCTTCTTTCCTACCGTCCTCCTCTATCCCGACTCCGATCCCAACGTCTCCCCTGCGCTAGATCCCTTCTCCCTTCCACTCCCTCTTGCCGACTCCCATTGCGACCTCTCCCCCTGCCCATCCCGCCGTCTCCCCCCTTTGCTTCCTTCGCTTACCTCTCCCTCTATCGCCTTTCTCTCTTCCGTATCCTGACTCTCATCCCGACCTCTCCCTTCACTGACCCCTCCCTCCATCGCCTCTCTGTCTTCCCTATCCCAACCCCTTGCGGCATGGTCCCAACCTGTCTCCCAGCCCGACCTCTCCCTCCTCTCCTACGTCTCCCCTATCCCGACCTCTCCCCCTCCCCATCCTGACCTCTCCCCCCTTTCTTTCTTTCGCCTACTTGTCCCTCCATCACCTCTTTGTCCCCCGTATCCCGACTCACATCCCAACCTTCCTTCCTTCGCCGACCTTTCCCTTCATCGCCTCTCCCTTTCCCCTATCCCAACTACCATACCCCCTCCTCTATCCCGGCATGGTCCCAACTTATCTCCCATCCCGACCTCTCCCTCCTCCCCTTCCGTCGCCGACCTCCCCTATCCCTCCTTCGCCCTTCTCTATCTCGACTCCCATCCCGACCTCTCTGCCTTCCCATCCATCGCCTCCGACCTCCCCCATCCTTCCATCCCGACCTTTCCCCCCTCCCCTTCCTTCCCGCTAGATCCCTTCTCCCTCTCCCCTGACTCCCGACTCCCGACTCCCATCCTGATCTCTCCCCCCTCTCCTTCCTTTGCTTACTTCTCCCTCCATCCCTGACTCCCATCCCGACCTCTTGCGATTCCCATCCCGACTTCGCCCTCCTTAACCCCTCCCGGCGTGGTCCCAGCGTGTCTCGCTGACCTCCCCTATCCCTCCTTTTCCCTTCTCTCCCATCCCGACCTCTCTCCCTTCCCGTCCATCGCTTCCGACCTCCCCTATCCCTCCTCCTTCCTTCTCTATCCGGACTTCCCTCCTCTTCCTTTCCACTACGTCCCTCCTCCCCCGCTTCTCCTTTCTCCCGCAAAAAAAAAAAAAAAAAA